TAAATGTGTTGGTGTAACACAAAGCAACATGCTCTAGTATATTATGCTCACATAATTATACCATATTTTATAACTCTTCTTTTCCTCCGTTACATCTGTTAAAATCCAAGCCTACGTTCAACCCCTTAGCTTCACTGTATTTAGCCGTCTTAAACCCCCAATTGTAATGGTTGTAGGCTTGCAGCCTAGGTCTGAATTGCAGCAACGTTATTGAAGACCAATCTTCCCCTCATTTCCTTGCTGGAGAAAAGTATGCAAAACACTAAAACATCAAATAGAAAAAGTTTTTTTAATTATTACGAAGAAGGAATATTATTTGGATTTTCTATGATTGGTATATGCTGTGTTTTTGTCTATAACGCTTATGTATTTTCTTATCATAGTCATTATTTAAATAATAATAATACATAATGGTAATTAGCATTTCCCCCACTCATTTTTAGTGTAATTATGTATATATACTTGCATTAATGTAAATGTAAGAACATTATGTCTTACTCAATTTATTTATGGTAATTAGCCGGTTTATGTAAATGTCATAATGTTTATTAGCAAGTTTTTTCACTAAACACATAACTTTTGATTTCGCGCGTTGAATTATGTAATAAGCATAAAAAGTAAGGTTGAAGTTACTTTTCCGACTGTATTGGCTGGATTTATTGTAGAGGATCATCTTAGCTGTTTTTTCATATAATTTTTTATTTTATTTATTAATAACAAATACTTTAAATATAATTTTTTCATGAATCAGCAGAAACAGCCAATACAGACACTTCAGCCAGAACTTCATAAATTCCAGCAGAATCAGCCAATTCAGTCAGTTTTAGTGTTACCAAATGCCCAAACGGGTTGTAAAAGTGGTAAGGGTGTCCGCTTTGGAGAATAATACAATTCATATTTAAACTTTAGTTACAAATGTTTATTAGTGAAGATTTGTAACTAATGGTTCATTGGTCTTCTTGATCAATCCTACATCGAAACAATTGATGGTGATTTGTGAAGTTTGAATAGAATCAAACATATCAAATACAAGAAATAATACTACCTCCGTCCCAAAAAGATTGGCCAATTTGACTTTTCTTGGTCAATGGTGTTAAAGTGTAGACAATGATTTTAGGTATTATATTTATGTGTAATTTATAAATTTTATACTTTTATGAAAGATCTTTTGATAAAGAATAAGCTCATATAATTTTCATATTTCAAATAATTTTGTATTAAAAGATGTCATTGGTCAAAGTTGATAACCGTTGATCAAGAAAAGTCAAATTGGCCAACCTTTTGGGATGGAGGGAGTACTTAATACTTAATAAGTCTCTATTTTCTCTTGAACAATCATATGTTTTATATTATCATGTGAAGGTCGCATATTAGATCAATAAGAACCTTTAATAGTTATATTGTACTAGATATTTTCCACTTTGCGAATGATATTTTTTTTATTGTGAGACTAGGAAAATAGGGTTTGGCCTATTGTGCATTTGCATTTTTATTTATTTTTGGGTCCTCTTTCATATGAAGGAACACTAAATACTCTATTTTTAAATTGATGCAAGTGTTAACATCTCAAGCGTTAAAGTAATCATATCAAATTTACATACAATATACGTAGTACATATTTCTCAATAAAAAAATATATTGGACATTTTATTCAATCGCGCAACGCGCGTATTGAAAACTAGTACAATTTATAAACTTCTTACACAACTATAAACTTCTTGCTATCAATAATTTAGTGAAATTAGTGTATATATAGACACGTATTATATGCCGTATTTTTAAATTATCAAACGTTTAAAACGCGTATGTATCTGTATTCTTGCTGGGAACGTATATAACATATATTAAGTCGTATTTTATAAAAGTGTGTCGTATTATACACGAACCTACATATTATTGTATTATTCATGTAATGTATATTACTAACAAAGGCTGTCACTCAAGTGTATGTACATAGACACGTAGTATATGATGGCGGAATTTTAAATCCATAAACAATTTAGGATGTTTTTACTTGGACTGTAATTTGTCTCAGACCAGACCAGTCCAGACCAGACCAGACAAGTTCAACCCAGACCAGACCAGACTTGGATAGTTATAAAAATACAAAGAAACCAGACCAGACCAGACCAACAAATTACAGTCTATGTAAAAACATCCTTAGAAGCTATTTTCTTCACGTGATCTGAATGTTTCTGATCTGAATTTTTTAAGTTCTGATCTGGTTTGATCTGAATTTTTCTGATCTGATCTGATCTAAATCTTTCTTATCTGATCTGATCTGAATCTTTCTTATCTGGTCTGATCTGATCTGGATGTTTTTGATCTGATCTGAATTCTTTTGATCTGATCTGAATTCTTCCGATCTGATCTGAATAAAATAAGAATAAGGAATAAGTAATAAGATTAAGACGAAGTGAACAACTTCTTAATTGCTTGATTTTTAAATGCAGATTTTTTACATAAATATTACCAAAATAAAACTCGTTTACGTAAGGGAAAAATGTCAAGTTGGTCCTTGTACTTTCATGCAAAAGTCAATTAGGTTTTGGTACTTTCAAAAAAATCAATTAAGCCCCCGAACTTTGTAAAAACGTTCAATCGAGTACATTTGCAGGTTACTTGTCATGTCAGCAAGTCACCCGCTGACATGGCGCACGCATCGCTATCCGCGCCACGTCATCAACAAATGGTTGACTGGACTTCCACGTGTGTGCCACATCGGCAAAATCATTGCTAATTGGGCTGCCACATGTGCGCCACGTGAGCAGGTGACTTGCTGACATGACAAGTAACGTGCAAATAGACTCAATTGAACGTTTTTACAAAGTTCGGAAATTTGATTGATCTTTTTAAAAGTACGATGATCTAATTGACTTCTTCATGAAAGTACGAGAACCAAATTGACGGTTTTCACTTTACATAAATATGACTAATAGTTACTACTACCTTTGTCCTATTAGAAGCCTAGAAGGTTCCCGTCTACTATTCATATGGTCAAATTAAATCATTTTTAATATTTTGTTTTATATATTATTTTTTTAATTTACATTTTTTTAAAAAGACTTTGTAGCAGTTTTAATGTACTTTCTGAATATGTAAATTTTATTTATTAAAAATAATCAGAATGTGAACAAGAATTAAGTTGTTTTATCGTCAGTCAAACATCGTAAACCGTCAATGGGAACCTTCTAGCGGGACGGAGGGAGTATAATGTAGTGTTATAGTAACATAAGTTTAAAAATGGAACATATGTTACTATGATTTCATAACTACTCTAATCATTAGTCACATTTTTGTAAACAATCTTCATTTTAGTTATAGATTTGTAATGATTTCTTAAATGTATAAACTTTTGGGGTTTTTACTTGAATATTACTACCTCCGTCCCCCTAAGTTTGGGACAAGAGAAAGTGGCACAGTTATTAATAAAAGTGGATTTATGTAGTTGATATTGAATTTGTAAAGTAAGAATAAAGTAATAATGATTTAGAACCACAAAAACTTTACCAAATAAGATATGAAACAAATGGAACGGACCGAAAAGGTAAAATGGGACAATCATAGCGGGACGGAGGGATTACTAATTTTTGAACCAATTACCAAAAAAGTGACCACTTTTAAAAGGGGGAAAAAAGGTGATCAAGAAAATCATATAAGTGGAATTAGAAAACATGATGTCACTGCAAAAAAAATATGTCACTATGATTTTATGTCATTATCCCATTTCATGTCACTTTCATATGTCAATGTAAAATGTGTCACTATGTCGGTATTCATGTCACTATACCGCATGAACTTTTCAGGCGACTTTTTCCGGTGAAACCGCCGGCCGACTATCCCATTTCATGTCAAATTCAATCGGGAAGGTCGTCAAATGATTTTTGCAAGTTAACTGGTCCGGAATATACATTTTCCGGACCAGTTAACTTGCAAAAATCATTTGACAACCTTCCAGATTGAATATTTGGCTAAAATTTGGTATGGATGAACTAGACTTAATGAGGAACTTACACAAAAAAATTGAGCAAAAAATACCACCGGGAAATTCCGAACAGGAATAATCCTATATATATATATATATATATATATATATATATATATATATATATATATATATATATATATATATATATATAGGGTGCAGTTCCAGTGAGAACGCTGCTTAACGTGAGAACGTGAGAACAATCACTTTTAAATCAATGGGGTGCACATTGGAGCTATTATGTTGCACATTTTCAAATTGGTCGAATTAAGCCTATATTAAATAAACACTGTGGCATTTTGGTAAATATTGTTAAAATGTGTTAAAGTGCAATATGTAAGCTTCATTGTGCAACAAGTTGGGGTAAATGTGGTGTTCTCACGTTCTCACGTTAAGCAATGTTCTCATTTGATCTTTACTATATATATATATATATATATATATATATATATATATATATATATATATATATATATATATATCGGTTGGGGACTTGGGGCCAGTCGCTCCGGTCCCAAAAATCAGGCCCGAGCCCGTCTCATTTCTATGCCGGTCCAGGTGCCGGGTCGGTACGGGTAGCAGAAAACCGGTCTCGGGCAGGTCCAAACTGTACCGGTCCCGGGTCGGGCTGCCCGGACCCAGTCCATCCCTAGTCTCAACCATTCATGATACACAACAGTTCGTCACAGGAATGACTGAATGAGTGCATGCTGTATACTGAAAAGTGAATCTTTTCATAACTTATTTTACCAAGAAATCACAATGGCCTCCTAAACATTGAAATCATTCCCCTTTTTAGATCTACAAAATTACTCACCCAGGTAATTATTTTGGTTAGGGGATCACTATATTCCTTCCATGTTTAACATAACTCGCCATGGCTATTCATTAACAGTTAGCTGCCTCAAAGATTCACATCTAACTGAAACATACCTCAGATTTCCACTAGACAATAGCATGACCAACATGTGCTGCTGACTGTGAATCACAATGAAAGTGAGATAGGTGGTAATATCTTGACAACATGAACACAAAGTGCAAATCAATACTGAAACACCTTCATCTCAGGATGTCATCAAAGGCTTTGTGTAAACCAAAAGTGGTTATAGGCTATTGTAGTAGTACAATACTGAAACCCTCAAATCTATTATACATAATGATTGAATCTAGTACAGTATTTACTAGTAACACAATACTGAAACCCTCAAATCATTTATATGTAATGAGTGCAATTTAATACATTAATACAATACTGAAACTCTGGAACAGCAAGATATTGTATCCCTAATTACATTTTAATATGGACTCATTCAGGGCTATCTCAATGTGTACCCATTCAAAGAATATTGTTTTACAAGTATACAGGCAAGGCAGCTTTAACCTTTGCCACTTCTGTTGACTTTTGCCATTTGATGTGTTGCACAGCTATTCAACTTCATCTTGGCTCGGTAAAAAAATGAGAGTATGAAAAAGGCTTCCTTAATGAATAAATACCGAGATTGAATGAACACTTGGTTTGTAGTATTTCCAGGCTATTAACATTAACTGCACACAACCTCAACAGACAGTTTTTTCATGACATTAGGACATGGATCTCCTCCAAAGGCTTCTGGTGTTATAGGTACTGTGCAGGAGTTCCATCCAATACAAAACTGCAAAGATAGACCCATGGTGAATGTGAAGTGGGTGAACACCCAAATATAACCCTAAATATTAAACAAACAAGCCCTAATTGGATCATTAATGACCTTGAGCATTCAGAAAAAGTCCTAATCAACTTTAAACATGTGGCATACTATATATGCAGACATAACAAGCCCAAATGTGATTACGTACATGAAGAAAGTTGTAATATATGATATGACTGAGTTGCGATGCCAAAAAAACGCAATACAAATCTATAAATTTTGCCCAAATTGCGAACAGGTTTAAATTTGTGTGCGTCTTTTTTGTCATTGCAATTGGTTTTTTACTTGCTTAAGACTTAGGTTCCATTTCAACAAGACAATCTTATAGGAGTAGCTGAATACCTTATATGCATGTTTATAATCTTGTATTTAGCAAGGTATTTGATCCATTTGGGACAGCATAGTGGTCCGTTGGATTGAGATATCAAGATCAAATTGGTCGTTAAAACTTAACACATGTAGCCCAAGACCTTATATTTACTTCTAAATTTTTTGTTTGGCCGATGTGAGACGGCTTATCACCACATATCTGATCGTTTTTGTATTTGAGCGTTTGAAAATACACATGCCTATGGTTAACCAAGCCTTTTTGAAACTTCAGAGCCCTTTATAAGTTCTTGCGGTAAGTTTATGGGCTAAATGAGATGTTTGAAGATTTATGCTCAATTACGTTTTCAATGAAAATTCAAGATCATTATGTGTATTTAATTATGTGAATACAACATGTTCAAAGATGTTTTGGTTTCTCTACCTCGGCTTCGATTACAAGAAACTGTTGCATGGTTTGAGAATACCTTGTTAAAAATATCATAAGAGCGAGAGGCGTGGCAGCTTCCCTCCTGGAAGTTTCCACAAACACCCTCAGGTGTTCCAAAGCTAGCAAATTTGATTGAAGAAATATTCTGACCAAAACCACAAGAGAGGTGAGCTTTAGGCCTTAGCGGTTTGTTAACTTCACCAGATGCTTGCATCTTCCAGTTCATTAGTTGTGGCTGCCATTCATATATATCTGCACATACACTTTCAACTTCACGTTTTACCAATGAGATCCCGTACGGGTTTCCTCCCCATTCTTCAAACATAACCAACAAATTTCCAGTTGAGCGAAGGAAAGACTGAGGGACGTGATACCTGAAAAATCACACCAATCACATTTAGTCTAGTTGCACTGTTATTATAAAAAAAAAAAGAAAACACTGCGAAACTGGGGGAAAATCATGTTACCATCTTTGTGTAGCTTCTCCACAATTACTAAGGCATTTCTTCTCATCATACCAACCAGCATAATTGCATGCACCACAGTTGCCGGAAGCCTTGTATGCAGGCCAATATCGCCCAATGCTTTGCCCGTTTATCCATACCTGACCTTTACCCATGGTGGCCATATCCAATGCTAATGGTTCATTTCCTTGTGGAGCATCAAAAGTAGTCTGAAAAAAAATCAGGGGCATTGAGTCACATGGGAATTATCCGGTAAGGGCCTGTTTGGATTTAGGCGAATATTTTGGAGGGCTGTTCACATATACTTGAGTTTTTTTAAATTTGAAAGATCGTTAAGTACTATGTTGTTTGATGGCATCACTGTTACCTTCCACAGTGGAGCTGGCAGGTTCGAAGCTCATTCAAATCAGGGTTACGGACTTGTGGTATTATTGAATATCCATAGCTTAGAGTGTTACCATATCGTGTGATTGTATAATGTTTCAATCACAATATTTTTAAAGAATATTCTGTTTATCAAGATACGGAGTAAACCATCTAATTATCCCTCCAAACCCCTGCGGCCCTCCATCCAAACGGACTCTAAAAGTGCTGGGAATATGGGATATACAAAAAGCAACAATGTCTGGGGTGTGCACACCTTATACCATGTTAGTGGCTGTTTTTGAACCACAAAAGCACCCTGTATCCACTCAATTGAGGAGCTCCCAGTTAGTGAGTGAATGTTCAGTTCTTCTCCTTTAAGACCAATCTGGAAGGGGGGGAAATAAAAAAAAACATTGGTACAGAAGAACAGAACAATTCTTGAGTGTATATTCTATTATGTTTAAAATTAATATGTGAGAAACACACCTTGTACGACCATTTCTGCCATGTTAGATCTCTTTTGCCGTCATTAAGACCAGAAAGTGTAACTGGCCCAAGAATGCCAGCATTCCATGTTTCAAAATGAGGACCTATGTTCTGATTGGAAGCAAAGTCAGAAATTTAGTATATTTCCCGTAATCCCGTATTATGAGTAGTGTAAAGCCTTTTATGCGGGTTACATTCTACGGAGTAGTATTTAAGCGCTGTGGGATGTCTTGAGTCTTAACAAAAGATGTATATGGAAAAGAGAGGTGTATAGAGAACAAACCGGAAGACCAACAGCAATGCTTAGCAATGAAATTTTATTAACTCCAGCTCTCATAGGTACTGCTTTACTAAAAGTAACTTTTGGGTCCTTTAAGCTTCCATAAGCACTTCCTGACAAAATGATTAAATGCATGTAAAGTTCAACATATCATCAGAATAACTAACTAACTGATCATTAGCTGACCCAAATAAACACTATAACGCATACCTATTAATTGACCATTGATGTAAACATGTAAAGCGTGTCCAGCTGAGAAGACAGTAAGCCAAGGCCAGTTTCCATCTTTCAAGAATCTCTCTCTTGAATCAATCTTGACACTGGTAATGAAATACATAGTTAAAAAAGATATCTTACTGGGAAGTTGGAAGAAGATCTAAATGAGCATATTTAACTATTATTTGGTGATTTTGTATACTATTATTAAAATGAAACTCCTGAACAAGGATAAGACTACATGTCTAGATGGTCACTACAGCCCCAGAGAAATCCATGACTAAAGTTCTGAAGTTTTAGAATGCACGTACTCTGTCATATACCACAAGTAGTCAGACGCATCTCTCGTCGTATTTATCTGCTCCAACAACCCAACAGCAGTAAATGCACTGTCATCGTATGATGTTGTCTCTTCATTGTATGAATGCCAAGACAATCCTTGGTTAACATGAGTCATCTTCATTTGTGTGGTTTGAGCACCAACCTGTAGGCGTAAAAGCAAGACAGTTAGTCTGTGGTGCTGTTTTTTACAGTGCAGTGAAAGGCTCGAAGCAGGTAAAGAAGGGGTAATTTTCTCTCACCCTAGCAGTATTATATACAGTGTTCTTGCAGTCGGGAAGAATGCTCACAGACCAGGGGGGCAAGTTATAATGCATGTTCCCAAACGATACTTTAGCAAATGAATGGTGGTCGTGGTTTGCAAGGAATGCAGCACATGCTCCAGACTTCGATTTGAAGACACGTGCCTTTGTAAAGTGGGATACAAGTCATGTGTAAGTTCACCTTAAATTTAGAAAATAAATGGTGTTTTTGATAATTGGAAGTAAACGTATATACCTCTTGATAGTTTCCAAGTGATGTTATGACCGGGTCTCCAGATACTAAAGCTGGCTCACACAGTTTTATTGCTCTATGAAGATCTTTGAGATGACCCCATTTAGGTTCCCTCAGCAACCCTTTGCCATCAAGAAAATTTTTCTATGAGTTTTCACCACTAATGTCTAAGTTATCTGTAAATTATGTGATTTGTCAACAATGGGTAGTGTAAAATAATGCAAGTTAAAATGAAGCTGTTCGAGTCTAATGTCTGATAAATAAAGAGAAAATGACATGGTAATAAGACCTTCTGTCAAATTACCTAATCAATTGAATTCCACCTATTAGTACAGTTTAGACTAAGTGTCTTATGACCGAGTTGGGCAACACTAATCCAATCCTAAATTCTATCATGAAGTCCTTTAATTGCATTGCCTTTATTTCAGTTTAAGAGAAGTACCACTTCAGACAAATAAAGAAAAAAAGTGGGTTAATCGGACAACTAAAGAGAAAACGATGGGTTAATACGACCTTGCGCCAAACTAGCTAATCTATTCAACTTTAAGTGGGAACCAGTTTAACGACCCAAATCCTATCTTGAGTTCTATCCACAAACATTGTTTCAACTTTAGAGCACAACTATTTTGAAGCATATTTATCTAGAAGCACTAGTTATGCTGATTATAGACTATTCATTATCCATGGCAAGTGTGGGAAGTGACATATCTCAGATGATCATCACAGGAAAAATTAAGAACATTACAACCTATTAAACATGCTTCCCATATGATTAATTGTGCTTAATTAGACTTCAACCATAAAATAGCCATAAGTTTGTGATGTTAATGCACAAGTTAAACACTTAAAGAGTCGACTTTTTCTGAACTATGGATTGACTAAATTGACCATGTTGGTGACTCAACAATGGAATAACCAGATAAATTAATTTACTCCGAGCTAGGAAAGGTAACCAAGCATGCACTAAGTCATACCAAATTCATCAATAGGAGCATCATAGTCATAGCTAGTGGTAATAAAAGGGCCTCCAGACGTCCTCCCAAAGTTTGTGCCTCCATGGTACTGCAAATAAACACACCGAAGATCAAACACTGAAAACAATGCAAACAAAAACTTAAAAAATATGAACACGAAAAGAACCATGTAATAATTAATGAATGAGCCCCCTTTCATTATAAACATTGCCACAGAATATGCCATATCCTCAGCTGGACGATAAGCTACTGGACCTCCATATTCTGTAAACCTGCAACAATCACCCAAAAGAATATTATTAGCAAACTCTAATATAATAACTTTTGGCATCTGCATTGTACATCAGAATAAAGTTTAAGCCTTGCTACCAGGCTGTCCAGGCTTCCGTCCAAATCTTTGGCTTATATGCCCTATTCGGGGAAAAGTAGTCGCAGTAGAAACCGTTGCAAGTATTAATCTGTGAAAGAAAGCAATTAAAATGTGCATAAGTTCACTGATATGCAAATAATTAAGACTTAGGTTCTCATCATAAAAGGTTACGTTGGCCAAACTTAAAATGTGTACGCTCATTTTGAGTCTTAGTTGGACCAATTGCTCATTGAATATAATACTATATTACAAATAGGGTTTCATCTAAAAGAAGTCAACCTGTTAGGAGTAGTGAGTACATTTGTATATCTAGTATTATCTACATTTAACTGGAGTGGAATGACTTAACACAAATAACTGAATTAGAAGAAAAAACATGAATACCAAACAAGTATTGGGAACACATACAATTGGATCTGGGGCATCATCTTGCTTGCACATGACCCAAGGGACACCCGTTCCAAGATTGAGAGCCATTTTTGCTGCCCACTGTGCATAGGCGCGACCAGGTGCACCGAGTTCATACTCCATGGGTCCATATTCATTCTCAATCTTAAAAAAAGGTAAGATTCTTCTCTTTAGCAATGTGGTGTGAAAATAATAGTAATAATAATTATGATAATCATTATTATTATGATATTAAAATTAGTAAAAACAACAAACGAAGAATTATTTTCAAAACTTCGGGCTCAATCTTATAAGGTTTTGGAGTTCCAAGGTTAATTTAGTAGAAATAGTAGCACAAGCACGATCTTTTATGTTGCTTGTTATTCCATGTTTAACCGATGCGAGACAGACATTAATTACCTGGGATAAGATTATAGGACCACCCTGAGATTCATAAAGCCTTTCTGCTTTCATCATGTTTACAATCATGGTTGTGAATTTTTCCATTGCAGCCTTTTGACATGCATTTCAGAAAAAACATGTTTTAAGGTGAAAATTAGAAAATCAATAACATAATCATTGCAGGAACAAAACATTTGCATAGACAAAACTTCCTAACCTTGAAAGGTTCATTGTCAGTTCTAAAACTTATCCCTGGAACATATTTCAGCCAAACTGGAAATCCACTGAGACCAAGACCATAAGAGTGTTCAGCACTTACAGACTATACATACTCTAGAGCAGAAATGCAGAATATATATTATTTTTATGTATTCATATTACCCAAAGTTCCATTCACCACAAGCATAAGGTCCAACTCTGAGATGAACATAAAGTCCAGCTTGGTGAACCAGCTTCACAAATTTCACAAGATTATACCTTTTCTTAAAATAATACTGCAAAACCCAAAGAGACGTAATTCTCTGTCAAAAATCTGCTGAGTATAAGTGAACAATAATATACTCAGGGAAAGAAAAGAAGAGAATATAAATACTTTTCCAGGTTGAGGTTCATGCCCATTCCAAAAAACATATGTCTGGATCACATCCAAGCCTCCTTCTTTTGCTTTCTGAATAAGATCTGGCCACATCTATACAACCAAAACAAAACAATAATATTTCTTATTATTATTGATGGGTTCATTATTATTATGAAAATAATGATAATGACACCAAAAGCTTAGCAATATGTACCAAAAAAATAAAAGACATTAATTATATTGGATAAATCTAAGATTAGTACATAAGAAAGAAGAATGGGCAGAGTATATATACCTCAGGAGTGCTTCTTGGGTAGTGAATGGATCCAGAAATGAGAATTTTTCTTTGCCCATTGACAATGAAACCATTCCTATCATAAGACACTGAAGCTGATGCACAATAAACTGAAGAACCCAGCAACAGAATTCCCACCACCAAAACATTCCAAATTAGTAACTTGAACCCCATATGTTCTCCTTCCTATATTGCTGTCTAAAGATTTTGTGCTGCCCCTTTATACCGCGGCTGTGTTTGGTCTCTTACAGTAAGATTTTCATAGTACTTGCTATAATGGGATATCATCCACTGTGTGGCGCATTACTTTACTTTAAAGTGAAGCTGGAAATCTGCAAGAAAAGGAAATGGTGCTCTGCAGCTGCTTTAATAAACGCAAATAAAAGTGAAAGAGGCCAGGTGGGACCCGTTGGTTCGGGGTTTCTTGGAGAATGGAGATAGCCATTACTCCCATACACGAATATTTCACCTCTATTGACTTTTCGACATTCCAATAAATGAGGATTATGGGTGTCTTATTATTTTATTTTATTTAATTTTATTGTAATTCACGTAAACCCAAAAAGACGGACATGTTCTGTAATCTGTCAATGACTATTAACTGATACCTTATTAACGAAGTGAAGTTATATGATTGATGATTTAACTTTTTTGTTTTTACCATTAGTTGTTAAGATATGGAGTGACAGATAAGAATATACAATGTGAGAGAAAACTTCATGTCAGGCCGGCCTGACGGGCTGCCCCGTCCGGCCGAGCCCGTTTGGGCACCTTCCCGGTGGAATTTTTTGATGAAATTTTTTGAGCATGTTCCTCATCAAGTCTAGTTTGTCCATACCAAATTTCAGCTCAAAATTCGATCGGGAAGGTCGTCAAATGATTTTTGAAAGTTAACTGGTCCGGAAAATACATATTCCGGACCAGTTAAATTGCAAAAATCATTTGACGACCTTCCCGATCGAATTTTGAGCTGAAATTTGGTATGGACAAACTAGACTTGACGAGGAACATGCTCAAAAAATTTCATCAAAAAATTCCACCGGGAAGGTGCCCAAACGGGCTCGGCCGGACGGGGCAGCCCGTCAGGCCGGCCTGACATGAAGAGCACTCTACAATGTGAATTATGTTGAAGTCTCATACGCAATATCGTGAAGTAAACAGTCGCAATATTGTGAACTAATACCGTTCAATATTTATTCAAAAAAATACCGTTCAATATTAGGATTTGGGCTACTTTTTTTATGTGATTAACATAAAAAAAATACTTATTTGACTTTTAAAAAAAAAAATAAAAGGTAAAGTCAAATATATACGGATATATCGGTGCCAAATAAATTTCACACTTTTCTTTTGGGGGCAGGTGTAAAATAAGTTTTATTCCCCCAAAAAACATTACTTAAACAAAATTTATTTACATAAATATGACTAATAGTTACTATACTAATGTGGTGTCATACTGTCATGATAACTTAAGTTTAATAATTGAACATAAGTTACTATGCTTTTATTACTAGTCTAGTTTTTGTCAACAATCTTTATTTTTAGTTATAAATATATAATTATTTCCTAAAATAAAGGCTACACTTCTATTTTGGTAAGTTTTTAATATAAAACTATCTTTATAGTCTGATATTATTATGTGCTTTACGCTCAGAGCCCGTTTGGTAGCACCAAAATCGGCTGTTTTGGCTGATTCTGCTGAAATTTATGATATTCTGGCTGGAGTGGCTGTTTTGGCTGATTCTGCTGATTTAAGAAAAAAATATTTTAAAAATATATTTTATTAATAAATTAAAGAAAAAATTATATGTAAAAATAGCTAAAATGGTCCTCTACAGTAACTTCAGCCAATACAGCCAGAAAAGTAACTCCAACCTTACTTTTTCGGCTTATTACACAATTCAGCGCGCGGAAGTAAAAGTTACGTGTTTGGTGAAAAAGCTGGTTGATAAGCCTGATAAGCCGAAAACAGAGTTCTCCAAACGGGCTCTCAGTTTATCTCTCTCACTGCACCTAGAGCTCATTTGGTAGTACCAAAATTGGCAGAACCGGTTGATTCTGCTGAAATTTATGAATTTCTGACTAAAGTTGTTGGATTGAGTGATTATGCTGATTTGTGAAAAAATATCTAAAATATATTTCATTAATAAAATAAAGGAAAAAGTATATAAAAAATAGCTAAATGATTTTCTACAGTAACTTCAACCAATACAACCAGAAAAGTAACTTCAATCTTACTTTTTTTATTACTATCGTATTACACAATTCAACGCTCGAAATAAGAAATTACGTGGTTGGTGGGAAAATTGACTGATAAGCCGAAAAACATAGTTACCGAACGAACTCTTAATCTATTTCTGTAGTGTTATAATAGGAAAGTCAAAAGTTCAACTATTTTAAAAATCGTAAAGTCAAAGTGTGATGTTTATTTCGAATCAATAAAATGTTATTGTTAAGAACTAAGATTAGGTCAACCTAATGGGAGACGTAACTCAAATCTTAATATAACACTTTATATCTCTCAAGACCAGACATTTCATCTAGATCATGCCGTTATTCAATCTTTCAACCGGTTCGTCATTTCATTTTTTTAATAAAAATAGTCATTTTTTCATAGGGAACCCACACCATGATTATTGATCGATTTGACTCTAATACCGGTCTTAAAGTTTATTTCACGGTCTTAAAGTTTATTTCACGGATTAGTAAGCACTTTTTATTATAACAGTTTTATTTACACGTAGTTTAACAAGAAGTGCTTAATAAACATAAGTTTAGAAATGGATTATTATGGATACATTTATTGAAATATGATTTAACTTTAAAACGTTAATAACTTTGAAGGACTTTATCTTTCCTTACTAGCACTCTCGCCCTCACCCCTTTCCCCAACTCCAACCCCTTGTCCCTACACTGACCATCCCAATGTAGGCACGGTAGTAGGGGTAGGTGAGAAGTGGGGTGAGGTGAGTGTACGTAAGGTTAGGGTGGATGTTGGGGTGGTTGGGTTAGGGGTATGTAGAGGTGGGATGATCCGGTGATTTTCATTATGAGATGTAAGGATGTATATAATCGTCAATATAAAATAATTTGATATATTGCTTAATAAAGTATGAGGGTAGAATCTTTACTTAATGCAAGAGACAGGCCAAGTCAAGCCAAGTGCAATTAGTGCAAGTGCACATGGGCCCCAATTTCAAGAACGCCTCCATTTTTATTAGCATAGTGTTATCCGTAGGCCCATTAGTTTTTCTTAGACTTAAATGTGTTTTTGCCCTTGCAAATAAGATACACTTTATTTTATTCCCGTGTAGTTTTTTTCATCCATGTATTATGCATTATTTTGTTTTTAGTCCATCTCTAATTCTAAAACCAATCATTTTAAGAAAAAAATATTGCCAGTTGTATAAATCTACTTGAAACTTTTGAATTTATCCATTTATAATTTTTAGGCTAATATGAGAGTTAAAACAATGTAAATTAAAACCGATCATTCAGATTTTTGAAGTACTTTTGAAAGAACATGACAAAGAATTAGAGGAAACCTATTAATCGGGGTTCTTACGTTGTCAAACGGAGGCCGTTATCATCGGTGATAGACTAAAGAGAAAACCTACATAAATTTCAAGGGTGAAAAAGAAAAAATAAATTTGCAGGGACGTAAAACAAAACAAAACATATTATATTTGCATGAACTAATAACATATTTAAACCTTTTTCACCAACTAACCATTAGAAAACAGCCCAACCTGATCGTATTAGTGAAGAAGAATGCCTTCCTGTCTGGTTGGTCATCCGCGTAATGAGAGCCGAGAGCGATGAGTCCTTGACAGATCGTTTATCTTCACTTTCTTCGGTTGATTTGGGATGTTTTTAACTGGACTAAAACTTTCTGGTTTAGTATATTTAAGTATGGTTGGACTGAACTAATTAGTGCTGGTGGATGTCTGATCTATATGTATTTTATAACTGCTGAAGTCTGATCTGGTCTGACCTAGTCTATTCTGGTCTGTATAATAAACTAATCTCGGATTGAAACCTAACTAGTAAAAACTAAAAACATCCTTAAATGTGCCTGGAGCATCTAAAAGTTAGATTGAAGGTGTACTTAATTGTAGCAAAATTCATTAGGAATATACAATAACAATAATGATGAGATGGTGATGATAATAACTTTGTAGTGCCTAAAATACAAGTAAATTCTAAAGAAAGTTGGTGTAAAGTTAGGGAAAATTTCTCGAGATACGACTAAGTTGTACGACTGAACAGTCAAAAAAAAAATCATCATACAAAAATGTTGAACGACGAAACTAGTCTTATTTAAAAAGAGGCATTTTACACTTCTTGTCAGAATCACTATAGTTCTCGTATATATTATATTGTGGCACTACTATCAATTTGCTTTGGTTCAATTTGCACTATCATTGAGCTACCCCTCAATGCATTTAGTCACTGCATGAGTTCAATGCCAATGAGTAAAGAAAAAGAGGAAGAAGAAGAGGTGACTCCAAGCAAGAGAAGAGATTAGTAAGCCTAGATTTTATAATAATAATAGGTTAAGGGCATGTCAGTCCATATAGAATTTATTTATTAATTTATTTATTAAATGCATTATTTAAATATTATTAATTAAATATTATTTTAGGGAAAAGCTAACTAGTTCATAGGTTGAAAATGTGAGAGAGTTTTAATCATGTATGGGATAATTTTCTCTAAAACCAAAAGGCAAATTTCACTTATCTACTACTCCCTCCATCCCTGAATTTACTTCCAATTGCGGGTTACGAAGTTTGACCAACGATAAAGTTACATGATCCCTGTGAAAATTCAGATTATTTTTAGTAAATAAAATTTATATATTCAGAAACTACATTAAAACCGCTACAAAACCTGCAAAAAAAATCGATTTTCATAAAGTTTTGATATATAAAGTAAGAGTTTAAGAGTGATTTAAGTTAACTCTCGAAAAGCGAAATGGAAGTAAATTCAGGGACAGAGGGAGTACATTACAGGTATAATTTTGTCTAAAAATTAAAGGCATTTTTCACGTATCTACTGATACATTTAATATAAAGGCAATCCTCCCTCATCAATTTTCTTTTAAGGTTTTTCCTAAAAAATTGTTTAAATTAAATTAATGGATAAAAATGTTATATTTCAATTTTTTCTTTTTAAAAATCAGTTTTACTTTTCCTTGTATTTAATACTTAGTATATTGTTGTTTCTTTTTCTTTCTTTCTATAGTTACGATGGTTGCACGTAATGACATATCACAATCATATTATTCAAAGTTTGTGGTAAGCATTTTAGTGCTTGAAAAGATCGAGTACTCCAAAGCTTTTATGTATTCTCCATTACTTGTGTGGATAAAACCTATGTTACGTTATAGAGTATATAACTTCGATCTTAGACCATTTGTAGTGATCAATAGTCCAAATTGTTAAATTTAGACTCCGTCTATATGAAAACAGTGTTTAGACTCCGTCAATACTGTTTTCCCCTGCATCCGTGCACCGTCAATAAAATACACTCTGCATATTTTTTACATATCGATTTAGTAAAACATTAATTAAATTATTATAAGTAATATTTTTCTTTTAACTTTTTCCCTGGATAATTATGAAATAAAAAATACACATTTCGAAGTAAAAAAAAATAAATTTCACTAATTTTTTATATGATTTTTTGTTAACAAAAAATGAACATAGTTCATAAAAATTGGATTATGGAATATCCAGCTAGTATTTGTGAAGGCTCAATGAATTAAAAATTTGTATTTCGTGTTTTTTTTGTTCAAGAAAACTTCAACAGTTAATTTTTTTTTGCATTTTATATATTACATATTGGTGTCATATGAAAGATCATACAAATTCATGAATTTTGATATAATTTTTGAAAAATTCGGAGAACAAATAAAAAAATTATAAGAGTTTAAAATTATTTGGGATTTTAATGACATGTCTGTGACATCATCATGATGTCACCAGAACGCATGAACACAGCATCAGAAGAGTGCCGCGTTTTCTTTTTTCTTTTTTTTTCTTTTTCTTTTTCCTTTTCTTTTACCCGGTCAACCTAACCCTCTATTTATACACTCTTCCACACCCCTTCCCACTTTTACTCCCCCTTTTAATCTACCACTATACCAAATTAAGAGGCTAAAAATTCCATTTTTAATCTTTTGACTCCTAATCTATAACCACTACAAATGGTCTTAGGGATCAATTTCTAGCCGCATAGCTTCGTAATATATGTAAAGTTTGTGCATATAACGTTAGAGGAATGTTCAGGTCTGAACATTTCTGGTCCAAACACCGTCCGAACATGGACGTTTGGGGTCCTTCCCGGTGGAATTTTTTGATGAAATTTTTTGAGCATGTTCCTCATCAAGTCTAGTTTGTCCATACCAAATTTCAGCTCAAAATTCGATCGGGAAGGCATTCAAATCATTTTTTGAAGTTGACTGCGTCAAAATATACATTTAAAAACCTAGTCAACTTCAAAAAATTATTTGAATGCCTTCCCGATCGTATTTTGAGCTGAAATTTGGTATGGACAAACTATTCCGAACGTTCGGACAGGATCATTCTTGTATAACGTTATTCTAAATTTTTTACTCATACTTTATTTACAATGTACTATCGTATTAAATAGTAGATACGTATTTACTTGAAATTCATAAACATTATCGGGCTATCTCTGAACTCATGTAATGTTTGATTTGATCATATCTACGGAGTATTTTATTTCATTTCATTTCATTCCATTTCAAGCGTTTTGTAATGCATTAGAAAGATCTTATCAAGTTTTAAGACTCGTATTCAAACTTCACTTACAAAATATTAGAGGATAGATATGTGTTACTCAGAAATTAAAAGAACATTGTTGAGTACACTTCGAACATGTATACTATCTGTCTCGATCATATCTTTCTGTATTCTTACAAACTCTTACCACTAAACATTTTTCTATGATCTATAAAATAGATAGTTTTTTGGATCACAATCAAATACAAACTTTCAATACGTGTATTTGAGTCTTTCGTCCTATTTTAATCCAATGGAACAAAATTAGAACAGGTTCCATCCGGGTCTAAATTTGTCTTAATCTGTACGCACAGTTGTTAGAGAAGATCTATTAATTTATTGAAAACGTGCTTGCCACAGACATTATATCATCATTAACATCTTATCAAAGGGGTTGGCTTACAATTATATTTTCAAATCAATCTCCATCTACCGGGCATAACATGCATGCGGAACAAAACACAACTCATTTGATTAACACTCCAGCCTGGATTGTTATGCACTTATGCACCATTCTAATTAAATCTAATTGTATCGTATTAATTAAGGACTAAACCGTGTTGGTTGTCTTAGTCAAACGTCGGTGGCAATTGTAGATGTTTTTACTTGGTTTCAGACCGGACCATATTTAAATAGGTGACAACTCCGTTACCTATTTAAAAATGGGGTACTGTACCTACCATCAATTTGATTGGTCCAAATCATTATATCATTTTTAATTTAGATTTAAATAATTCAACTGCAACATCCTGATTGATCCATGTGGACAAAGGTATGGTACATTATGGGTACCATAGAAACTACCATTTAAATATAGGGGTTTGGTTCGGGATTGTCAAGAGCTTCTCGAGACTCATTAGTGAATGCCACTCGGGAGACAACTAAAGGGCTATCTATACTTCAGGAAGCTCCCCATGTGGATTAGGAAGTTTCTCCACGAGAACGCTAATAGTCTTGAGCATATTAGAATTTAATTTTCCTTCTTTTTTTCCCTTTCTGATGCATCAAAAAACAGATCAGGTAATGTTTAAATAGATAAGGTCAAACTTTAAAAAAGAGAAAGTTCCCAAAATAAGTCTAAAACAGTTTGAAAATTCCAAAATAGAACTATCATGTTTTTTATTCCCAAAATAGGAGTAATTACTGCCAAATTTGGGAAAGTTCCCAAAATAGGATTAAAACAGCTTGAAAATTCCAAAATGGGATTGTCATGTTTTTTATTCTCAAAATATTAGTAATTACTGTCAAATTTGGAAAATATTGCCTTGTTTGAAATCTGGTACAACCAAAACATGGCAATAATTAAACCTATTTTGGGAATAAAAACATGGCAGTCTTATTTTGGAATTTTCAAATCTTTTTAGTCCTATTTCGGATAATATTCTTCAGTCTATTTTGAAATTTCAAAACCTTTTTAATCCTATTTCGGATAATATACTCTTCAAAAAATTATATCAACTTTGATAGTTATAAAAGTAGATAAAGAAGATAAGTGAGACAATTATTGACCAATCAAATGAAATTAAAAAATTTCAGTCTCGAAAATTGAAAAATCAGGCACGCAGTGAAAAGCTTGCTAAGGCTAGTGCATACGGGGTTTCGGCCCAAATGAAAAAAAATTGCCCTGACAACGGCCCGCCTTCGTCTTCAACAACCACTCTACCAGTCATCGGCCGAGACTGCATCAGGCCACCGGCGTCCGACGCACTATCAGACGAGGGACGACTGGAAGACAACTGAACCAGCGTCCTCCGAAGCTCTGAGACCCATCCACCGGATATCGTTGACCGACTGCCCAGCGTGATTGCGTCTGTTCGCCGCACTGTACGCCGCAAAAATTCCGGGTTCTGACTCACTACTCAGCCAGGTAAATCTAGTTCAAAAATTAATTCTGGATTTTTTTTAAAGTTAGAATAAATAGCCGGTTTAATTACTGAAGTATTTATGTTCTAAACTCGGTATTCTTCTTGCGATTTGCAAATATGTCTTACTTTATTTCATATATAACGGTTGACAAATTGACCATAAACGAATGCACTTCTTTTGGCCTTTTGGGGCTAAACTTGATTATGAGTTGTATTCAAAGTTTTCGGGCAACAATAATATAATTTTGATTTGTGTGGGTGAATATTAATTCCATAATCTCATTTTTTTAGTACGGAGTACTACATACGGAGTACTACATACGGAGTATTAATCTCATCAGTATTAATATCATTGTCGGCATCAATCCCATTGGTTAGATGTTTGGCATTAATGCCATTGATATTAGGAAAAAAATACAGAAAAGATACTTGTGGTTGGGCTAGGGTCACGTGTTTGAATTCTATTATCACAACTCACAAGAGAGTCATGCCGTTAAAAGCGCTAGAGAAAGACGGTAATATTAACTCCGATTTTCAAAAGTGCTCGGAAAATTAAAAGAAAAACACTGAAAGGTGTGCCTCGTCAAGATGACCTCCAAACCACCTTCGCCTTTGGATTTTGCGGATCTGTTTGAATTATTTTTTAAAAATGATTTCGCTAATATCACTTTTCCGGTGGACTTTCCGGTGACAAGGGTGGCTGGAAACAAAAAAGAAAGATGACCTAGCGGTTGTCTCGTTGAGGTGCACCTTTCGGTATTTTTCATTCAATTTTTCAAGCACTTTTGAAAATCGGAGTTACTATTAACCGTCTTTCTCAGGCGTTCTTAATGGCGTGACCCTCTGGTGATGACGGAATTCAAACACATGAATTACTTTGATAAAAAATGAAACACATGATCCTATTTGAAAACAGACTCAACCACAAGTACTTTTCCGTACTTTTCCCTTAATATTACAACATTAATCCCATATTCCCATTAGCTTTTGTTGTTATTAACCCTATTGTTTCTAATATACTTGTGATGACCTTTTTACTGTTGGCTAACGTATCATATGATGTGATGGATTTTTGTAGAGATAAAAAAGCTAATGAAGATAAGTTTAAAGAGATACTTTAGATCAACTTGAAAGATATACTGTTGATGTGCGCTCTAACTCTATATTTAAGGTGTTGAAAGGACCATGTTGGTAGACTTCGACATTGAAAGAGTTTTTATGGATAAATTGAGCAATCAAATGAGTGATGACCGGCTCAATGATAGATTCCTTGCTTATGTAGGAAATAATATCTTTTTGAGAATTGATAGTGATGTCATTATTAAATGATATCTATCTATGAAAACCTGTAGACAAAAAATATGAATTTGTCACGTGTTTTCAATATTTGACTAGGATGAGAACTCTTATTTTAGCAAAACATTTGTAATATTTATTTAATTATTGTTGTATTTGACCTTTTTGATGCATTAAAAGTTATGTTACATATATTATATATGAAATATTTTCCCCTGGATTGAAATGCTAGATCCACCCTGCCTGTAACTGTGAGTGCAAAACCCACACTATAAACCAAATTGTATTCTAGCAAAATGTAAAAATACATACATAGAATTGATGTAATAAATTATACTACGTATATTGATTTTTATGTAATATTTCTTGCTCTTAACCTTATTCTTGGACTTCTCAATTGGTGGACCAAAAAATATTATTGTGCAATAGATAAATCATTAACGTATGAGTGTAGCCAGAAAAAGTTACATGGGGGCGCACAAAGATTTTTTCAAAGAATTTATTAGCATTTCATTGGGAGTTGTGCTGAGAACTCGCAATATGCTTAATCAATTAGGTGGCTTCTTGTGTGCAGTGATACAGTGTTAAGAACCTGGAAGACAAGCTTCGGGGAATGTGATTTATAAAAAAAAACGAAAAAAAACATACAATGCGAGTAGTTAAAAAAAGTGAACCATAATGACAGCTAAACATGCTGTTCTAGTTTTCTTTAAGGGTGTCTAGTTCTCTTGATTTTCTCATATGCAGCTAAACGAACGCATATCTGCAATTCTGCAGATAACTATAACACTACCGTAGACTGCCAAATCTCTCTAGTGAATCATTCACATGCTAAGAGTTTGTACATTTTATGTTTAATTCACAGTTTATATATATATTTCGTAAAACGTACAGCTCTAATGCCTGTATCAATTCAACTAGACTCTAGTATATTATGGATTTTACCCACTTGTATAGGTTTACATATATTTAACATGGGTTGCTCCAAGACAAAGTGATGGTGGAAGATCCTCATTCAGTTAATAGTCCTCGAAGGATTCTCAGTTTTACAAAAAACAAGAGGGCAACTGTTGTCTTCCCAGATTCAAATCAAAAGGTTTCAGAATTTACTCTTCCTGGGGATCACGGACCCAATCCTTCTGAAGTTTATGGATTTGTTGGGTCTATTTCTACCGTTGTTGCTGCAGGTTCAATTCATCCTTCTTCCTATTAGCACATTGGTTGTGAACTACAAATATTGCTTGCTCCCTTCATTCATTTAGTGTGTTTGGTGCATGAAAAGCAATATGGAAAGAAAACAGGGAGGAAAGTATAGGAGAGATTTTGAAAAAATAAGAATGTTGAGGGGGAAATAATTTATTGGTTCATACTCAAATAGATTTATATTTTATATTTGTCCACACATTTTGTTAATTTTTCCTTTTATACTCGAAGCAATGTTTCTAAACTCTTTCAAAACAAGTAAAGATTCTAAACATGTGGTGGGGAAAACATAAAAGATAACTCAAATTTCCGGTATCTACATCCTGAGCTAAAACCTAATACTCCATACAAGAGAAAGTCTTTTTTCAGCAATTTTTTCCCTGTTCGTATATCATTTTTCGAGATCCAAACACGCCCAAAAGAATTGGGACTTGGGGAGACTAAAGGGGAGTTCCAAATGTGTGTCTGTGTGTTTTTAGGACTATTGTGGATTGACTATAAGCAATATTATTAGATTCATCATCTTGATACTTACTTTTTGGCAAGAAGGCTTTCCCGCATTATTCTTCACTTGAAGGTTTCAGGAAAATCACTCAGATAATGAATTTGAGGCTTTTGGAACACACATTTAGAGTTTTCTCTTAGGTTATTTCCTTTATTTAGTTTTCCTTTTTCTTTGTAGTTATTTCTCAGAATTGTTTGTGCTAATCTCCAAGACTTTCATGTGTTTATTGTGATTGTGAGATTCATGAACATTTATGGCATTCCTCTCTCTGGACGGGCACATTTAATTATTTACTTGTCGTCCAATTTCCTTTATTGCTTTGCGCAGTTATCTTTCTTGTGTGGGCATATGTCCCAGAGAATTGGTTGCATTCAGTCGGGATCTTCTACTATCCAAGCAGGTGAATACAATTGAAACTCAGGGACCATGGACTAACTGGATAATTATATGTTTTTCTTTAAAACTGGAAAATACATTTACTTTATTATTTTCCAGAAATAGAAAAAGTAAAAACATGTTTCTAATATCTCAAAAAAACAAGTGATAGTTTTACAACTGCTTCTCTACCTGTTGCAAATCGCAATCTTGTAAAGAAGGAAATATGAATAAACTATCTAAACATCAAAATATGCCAACTCGTAGACAACTTGAATTTCTTTATCATGACGAAGAACAAGGGGGAAAATGTACATACAATATACGCTGACACTTTGTAAACATTAAGAGCCTTTTTGGTAAGACTTATTTGGCTGAAATGGCTGAACTTTTTGAAAGGAAAAGCTTTTGGTGACCTCAGTTGCGGCCAATATTTATTCAAAAGGTACTTATTTTTAATTATTCTGCAGATTCTGCTGCAAAATAAGCCACTTTTGAGCCTAAATCCTCCTATTCAGTGAATAAGTGAGCATAAATAAAAACAGCTTATAACTACTTATAGATGGTTTAGAGAAATGAAGGTTTTATGAACATATATGCGTATTTGTGACTGAGCATGCAATTATCTGTCAACATTCTCATGGAGAGAATAAAATGCTTCTGGTTTCATGGTGAATTCAGAGCGATGCCTATGATCTGTAAAGTAATTCTTTAAAGATTATTTTATAATAAAACATAGCTCCTTTACTGCCATTTTTCGCTTATTTGCTTATTAGGTCTTACGACCCATTGTTTACAGGTACTGGGCATTGGCTGTGCCAGCGTATGTTATGATGAGCATAGTTCTATCAGTAACATTTTACATTGGTCTCAACTTCATGTCCACACCTCCCCCCACTTCTTTCACCACCATGTTTGGTAAATCTCAACCTGTAAACAGTTTTAGTTAGGAAAGCACACTTTTCTGAAATTCCATAGGGGGTCTGTTTTGGATGGCTAAGTCTATATATATGTATATATATATGGTCTAAAATGAAAGAGGCTTGAGATTGTGCATCTTAGGCCTACCTTACACGATCATTCTCCAATATATATATATATATATATATATATATATATATATAGAGAGAGAGAGAGAGAGAGAGAGAGAGAGAGAGAGTGCTCTTCATGTCAGGCCGGCCTGACGGGATGCTCCGTCCGGCCGAGCCTGTTTGGGCACCTTCCCGGTGGAATTTTTTGATAATTTTTTTTGAGCATGTTCCTCATCAAGTCTAGTTTGTCCATACCAAATTTCAGCTCAAAATTCGATCGGGAAGGCATTCAAATCATTTTTTGAAGTGACTGCATCAAAATATACATTGAAACTGCAGTCAACTTCAAAAAATGATTTGAATGCCTTCCCGATCGAATTTTGAGCTGAAATTTGGTACGGACAAACTAGACTTGATGATGAACATGCTCAAAAAATTTCATCAAAAAATTCCACCGGGAAAGTGCCCAAACGGGCTCGGCCGGATGGAGCAGCCCGTCAGGCCGGCCTGACATGAAGATTTGTCTATATATATATATATATATGGATGAGTTCAAATGAGAAGACATCTTAACGTGTAAAATGAGAATTAATCTCGGCCGTCCAAAGTGTCGATCTGATGCACAATAACCCTATCTGATGCACTTTCGAATAGACCTCATTTGATGCACTTTTTGAAAAGTGCATCAAATGAGGTCTATTCGAAAGTGCATCAGATAGGGTTATTGTGCATCAGATCGACACTTTGGACGGCTGAGATTAAATCTCATTTTACACGTTAAGACTTTTTTTTTATTTGATCCAAATTATATGTATGTGTGTGTGTGTGTGTAGGAAAAATATTCCGTCGAGCTGTCCAGACAGGATCCATCCTCCGTCCGGCTGCTTCAATTTGAGGTAGTTCGCGGTGTAGTTTTTAATGAAAGTTTGTGAGCATGTTCTTCACGAAATGTAGTGCTACAAAGTTTCAGCTCAAAATTCAATTAGGAAGTCAGTTAAATAAATTAATGAAAAACACTGCACTTTTTATATAAACTTCACGTAGCTTTTTTCAGTAATTTAAATAAATGACTTCCTGAATTGAATTTTAAGATGATATTTGGTTGACATAATTTACACTTCGTGAAGAACATGTTCACAAAATTTATTGAAAAGTTCCACCCAAAACACCTCAAATGAAGGCGACCGCATGACAGTTCTTGTTAGGCCGGCCTGATAAAATCATGCCTCTATATAGTATATACATATGGGGTCATATAAAAGTGCACTTAACTTACAAAATGCAAATGGTTAAGGTGCGTTGGATTTAAATATCTAAGGGGTGAAACACTTACAATGACATTTTGGTAAATAAACCAAATTATTTCGGATGCAACACTTTTAACGTTAATATGTAACCATTTATTTCATGGCAAAATAATATGCAACTTTTTGAAGATCAATATACAATACAAATAGCATAAAGATGTATTGTACAAAATTTTACATATTAGTGCACTTTGTAATAGATCCGCCCTTATTTATTTTGAGATTCTATAAAAGTTAAGTCATAACATATAGGGCTCTCATACAAATATATCAATTAACCCAGTTTTATTATCATTCAATTTATCAAGATGTAGCCGGCCAAAGGCATCAATCCAAACCAACCCTTTACTGTGTGTCTTGTGTTGGATGTGTATGACTGTGATTTATGTACTTTTATGACCTGTTTAGTATTATAAGGCTTGATCATCTGGATTTTCTTCTTTAAAATTGAATTTCGCCAAATAAGTAAAAGGCTACTTATAAGTACAATAAGTGGATTAATGCTATCCAATCGGGACTTGGAATTGTAACATAGCTCATTAGCTTGTCTGTTGTAGTAGATGTCTTGAACCTGTTGTGTTTTCATATTTGCAGATGAATTCAGTAGAGAACCATTGCTGAGTAGTGCTTTTATAGACGATGAAGATGATGAGCGACCCATTGATCCGATCTCTGATATCGGCATTGATCAAATTAATAAAATAATGTTTCAGAATTTTGATTAACATTTGTTCGCTAGTCACCACTGGCAGCCTTATAACATTGCTTTGTATGTCGCCATAGTTGGTAATTGTGATCAATAGAAGAATTAAACAGATTTACGCAGAAGGAAATCATGAGATGAACAAGGTCCACATAACCACATTCCAAAAGTAGATCAGATTCCCCTTAAGCTTTGTCAATGATGTACTGTTCTTTGTTTTTTTTTGGTAAATCTGAAAATCCAAAAAAATTGTGTCGAATGCTAATATTATAAAGAAGTTTTAATCTAAATGTTACTCCATTAAAAAGAAAAGTAGGAACAAAAATAAGATGACTTTAAAATTGTGTTGAATGCTTATATATGTTGCTGACGATCACTGCAATCACAGCTAATGGCATGTATCATCCTTGGGAGTGATGAACCTAACGTGAATTTGCTTCTCCAGTTCAGCAGTTCTCCATTGTGCAACAAGATCTCAACTTTGACCAGACGATGGACTTCAGTTGTGGACTTTGAAGCTTGTTTGAAGGACTATAGCATGAAAGAATGCCATCAGCAGCTGTGAAATGCCGATCTTCAAATGCTGTTGCAACATTTAATAACAGGAAATGTTTATTCCATGTAGTGGTGGATTCGGGTCGGGCCACCTGGCCCGTGGACCAGCCTGACCCGCTACTGTGCGGGACCGGGACCGGCCTGGTTCTCGGGTCCGGGTCTGGGCTCGGGTCTTACAAATGGCGAACCGGCCTGGCCGGGTCGGGCCCGGGCCAAATTATTTTTTTTCTTCCTTTTTTTGGGGTTCCACCCGGGTTGGGGTTGATGGTTAGGAGGGGTTTGGGGGGTTAGGAAAGCGCAAAAAAAAAGGAAAAAAAAAAAGAAGAAGAAGAACAACGGAGGCCCGGCCCGGACCCGGTGGCCCGCCCGGGCCTAGGCCGGACCCGGCCCGGCCCAGCCCGAGTCCACGCCTGATTCCATGTCCTGTGAGAAATGCGAAAGCATAGAATGGTTAACTTGGAATACATACACATAATGTGTGTGTAAACGTGTTACTGTAATATAGAATTGCAGTCTTGTAGAGTAGGGATTTATAAATGTTAAGGTATATTTTAAAGAAGTTATCAAGTATATTGAAGAAATGGAGAATAAAAGTCGTAACATACCCCCTGCCCCAACTGCACACTCTAAGTGCAGCCTCAAATGGGCGAAGTGGTCGTGACCAAAAGAAAAACACATACAGCTACTAGCAGGGTGGACACACTTCAAGTTCCGGAACTGAATATGACCAGAACCAGTTAAGTGAAGGAACCAATTCAGCACCCACAATTTGGTTCCGGACTGTTGGACCGGAGCTGATATGCAAAAGGGGGAATTTGACTTTGCACCCCACTTTTTGGGTGATATTGGACTTTGCACCCCATTTTGAAAAAACTTTGATTTTGCACCCCATTCCACTTAAATTTCCTTTGACTTTGCACCCCATTTAGAACTTTTTCTTCACAAAATGGTATGTGTTGGGGTGCAAAGTCAAAACTTTTTAAAAATGGGGTGCAAAGTCCAATATCATCCAAAAAGTAGGGTGTAAAGTCAAATTCCCCCTATGCAAAACGGGTTCGAATCAGTTCCAATACTTTCAAATTAGGACCGGAACTTAGCGGTTATGACTTATGATTTATTAATTTTCATAGAAAAATAGATTTAAAAAACAGAAATGGGGCTGTTTCACTTGAATCTATTACCTTTACCTACATGTGCGTGCACAGAGCCACACACATTGCTGAGTGCAGCCCTTTTGCAACTAGGCATGGACTCAATCCCGGTCCCAAACAGTACCGGACCCAGTTTCAGACTGGACTGGACTGAATCCATGCCTACTTTGCAACTAGACTGAGACTACCACTAGTTTCAGTGGAAAGCACCATATGCCAGTGTCGGATTGTCAGCACAGGGAGAAAAGCAAACACAGCTCCCTAACAGGATCCACCTCCATGCCTGATTTTATAGCAATCATTCACTTCATTGGTAAGCTTTGGGAATACCTCTATGCTATTTATAGAGTCAATCCCACTTGTCAATCAAATACTCCGGTATGTGCTTATTTATAGTTGTGCGAATGTTGGAGAAAGAAAGACTTTTTTTTTTCATGACCAATAAAAACCAAAAACAATCTTAAAATAACAGTACTTGGAAAATTGAGGTATAATAAATAACACATCCGCAACAGGACAGACATTGTATTAATCCACAACGGTCAAGATTGAGAAATATCTGCAGCCGTTCCTACCACATAAATTGCTAGTCGAAGCCTCGAAGGTGTATTTAGTTCAGGAAATATAATAATCGACAGACACTGTAAACCAAAAGAAAAACAAACACAGACGCACATACAGACAGTCCACGGAATAGTCCTGCTCCTGGGCAATACCCCAACCTCTTGCTACAGTCCTTGCTACCTTCAGCCCTTTTCCAGTAAAGTAGCTGATCTGACTAAACTGTCCTTGAACTGAAAATGCTCCTTTCACTACTTGGTTGATGCCATCCGTCCAAACATCGATCAGTCGATCTTCACAGACGAGTATATCTTCCGGACGAACCAGAAGCATGCATAAAAGCCGATCGTTCCAGTCAATACAAAGAAGGCATATGATGCAATCAACATGTACCCAAAATACAAAAGGCCCGAGACCAGCTTTGTAATTTCCAACTTAGTGAAGAAGTAGAAAATGGAGTAGAGGAAAAGGTAAAAAGCTGAGGAGCCAGAAGTCAGATATGCCCTCCACCACCAGTGATAGTCTTCACTGCACAGCTGGAAGTAGCACAGAACGACAGTTATTTCAGCACATGTGATCAGCAAGATCACAAAAACTATGAAGAGGAACCCGAAGATGTAGTAGAACTGGTTCAGCCATATGGATGTCAAGATAAAGAAGAGCTCAATGAAAACAGCACCAAAAGGAAGAATCCCACCAATAAGGATGGAAAAGGCTGGCTTCATGTACCATGCTTGTTCAGGTATTTGCCTTGGGATCTTGTTTGTCTTCACTGGGTCTTCCATAGCCGATTTTTTGTAACCCAAATAGCTCCCCACAAAAACTAAAGGCACTGAGATGCCAAACCATAAGCAAACGAGAGCAAACATGGTTCCAAATGGGACAGCCCCGGAGGATCGTTCCCCCCAGATGAGAGCATTCAGTACAAAGAAGACCCCAAAAAGAATCCCAGGGAACATGAATGCAGTTTTTAAAGTGATCCGTTTCCACTCTGTTCCTTTAAACATTTTGTATAAGCGTGATGATGAATAACCGGCAAATAGGCCCATGAAAACCCACAATAGAACCATGGCTGTCATAAGCCCACCTCGGTTGGAAGGTGAGAGGAAGCCCAACACAGCAAATATCATCGTCACAAGGGTCATTGCAAATATTTGAACGCCGGTCCCCACATAAACACATAGTAACCCAGAATTAATAGGAGGCCTAAAAACGTCTCCATGGACAAGCTTCCACCCTGTTTCTTCCTGAGCCTCATCTTGTGTTTCCAATTGATTGTAGTTAGCAATGTCTTTGTAGAGAGTTCTCATCATGATCATGGCAACCATACCAGAAAGGAAGAGAACGATCATTAGAGAGTTGATGATGGAGAACCAGTGGATCTGATCATCATTCATTAGCAGATAAGTGTCCCAACGTGAAGCCCATTTTATTTCACTTTCCTGGAACAATAAAGCAAGGATAGAGAATTAAGATCCAAATATCCCCCCACTTAAAAAACAGTGAGTATATGACTTCCTGTGAGAAAAATAATACCTTGAAAGACACGTCATAAGTGAAGATAATCTCTTTATCTGTGTCTACTTCTTGTGGAACAGTACTCCCCTGAATCATCTCTTTTGTTTTCTGAGTGCAAGTTGTCACCTGAGGGTTCTTCTCATCCCACTCTTTGTACTCGTGATTAATGCTGTCCATAGAAGTCAAGTACGAAGAGATCAGAACACAGATCATATTCAACTTGAAAAAAACAGCACTAAAAATTAATGAACGAGTTGTCAAATGAAGAAAGAAGGATCAAGTATAAGCATATAAACCTGTTTGGAGTAACTTCAAATCCCACTATTCGAGCAGTATCTTCCGCAAGATCCCTGTGGTACATAACTCTAAAGCTCAAGTGGTTATTTATAAAATATTTCTCCACTTTACTCTGCAAAAGCAAGTAAATGAACGTTGGTTAGAGAGCATTCTGAAGTCAAATCATAGGAATATGGTTTGTGCAACACACCCCTGCATAGTTTCCCTTGAACCCAACACGGAAACCATGTTCATAAGTGGTGGGCTGACTTCCATCACGCCTTTGTCTAACAACAGCGACTGGAAGGTTGTCCAAAATCCTGCACCACAATTTGACAATGGTGAGAGTCTAAATGGAAAAAATGAACATTAGCAATACACTCCTGAGATTTTAGTGCAGGATAAATCTGAAATGAATAATTGCAACTACAAGTCCATAACTTACATATTCACCCTATATTCGTCATCAATTTTTTCTTTGAAGTTCTTTGCAGCTTCAGCATCGAGCTTTACTCGACATGCCACCTGGCATGGAAGCTCTTGTAGCATATTGAACTGTTAAGTAATGCACAAAACATAAATGCCGCATCAACTAAGAATATGTACTAGAATATAGTAAATGAGCATACTGTTCTAAATCTCCATAATAACGCACAGATGTGAAAGCCGTGCCCGAGACAGTGTCGCCTGAGGCGTAGGTCATGGCGGAAAGCCCTTTCCAAGTTCATTACAGATATAATAGCCTCATCATAGAACCTATAGCTGACAGGGCTCTGTGCCTCCTCTAGGGGAGAGCACAGGTCGAGCGGGTTCAAAAACACAAGACCCTTTCGGGTTTCGGGTGACTTAAATGGATATCCGATCTTATGTATTAAAAATTGAAAAAAAAACGGGTTTTTAATTTCAGGTTGGGGTCGGGTTTCGGGTTGATTCGGATTACAAAATTAGCAATCAAAAATGAAATTTAAAATACAATTGCAAAGTTGCAATCCAAAAAGCAATCTTAAAATCTGAAAACTTCACACAATTGCAGAGTTGCAGTCCAAACAACATTAAACTTTAATTAGGGTTCGAAGTAATGAGAGAGGCGCTGAACAATTAGGTTTAGGTATATAAGGAGTAATATATACCCTGAATGAATAAGCTCTTGTAGCATGAATCGGATCGGGTTTGGGTATTTCGGGTCGGGTTTTCAAATCCAAACAAAAATTTCGGATATAT